AATTACGCTTCACACCCCAGTTGTGAAAATATTTCCAAGAACAACGTCTCCCCATGACGTTACCTATCACTTTCGCAGTGAATGACAAAACCCCTAAGTAATTAAGTTTTAATTTATCCCAGCAAGCGAGACGCGATGTACTCAGTCACAAGGCATGTTACTACCAGCGCCATTAGCGGTATGCACAATCTGAAGCAACAAGAGTTACATAACCTAATGTTGCCGCCGTGGGGCGCCACCGGACACCTGCTGGTCAGGGAAAACACTTAGTACGTAGATAAAGGTCCTACTGTCAGGAGGCGATGAGAGATGGACAGTGCTAACTGACCATATCATCTCCGATTACAAGTTCTTGTTATCGTGCAAGTCTAAATGTGCCCTTGTTGTCGAAGTCTCTGGTCTATTAACAAACGAGGTGTTTATTACTGGCAAATTTGACTTAATCTTATCTTAACCCATTATCGCCAATCGTTTTAATTTGTTCAGTGTCAAAAGATGATAAGAAAGTGTGACATTTTGATGAAGGATACAGGTTAAAGTGTTCAAACGATTTGTGATAATGGTATTCCAATATTTTATTAACTTAAACTCGACGTTATTGTAAATACGTAGACAGAACAATACTGTAATTACAATTATTCAATCAATTTCAATTTGTGGAACAAGAAATATACACGTGGTTTCTTTATTGTATTTAGCATAATTAATCTAGTTTGTTATTGTTTTGGTCTCTGTAATATAGCACGTTTGGCAATTGGCACGTCTCAAATATCTTAACCTTAAGCTGGAATTATATGAAGACCACCTACACCTTTGGAAGACCGTCTCTGTGATCAATGCTCAGTCCTCAAATTAATAACTTCCAAAGCCTTACTACCACAGAAAGAATTAACCTCCTGTTTAGAAATAATGAATAAAATAGTATAGAAATAATATGCTACCATATGTACAACTTTAAACAAATATAGAAGATCTCTAGATTGTCTTAGGCCATTATTATACACATTTGTATTATTATATGTTTTAGTACTCTGATTCATTATGTATCTTGTTTATGTATAGAATATTGTCACTGTTTCTGCATGGAACGTTTGCGCAATAAATATCTTATCTTCTCTTCTCTTATGAATAGCTGTCCCTTTACCTAAGATACATTTACAATCAAGGCATACCAATTAGTACCTTTGAACAAGGTAGTACATATACTCCCAGGTACTCGAAGATAAATTTTCTTTGACGTCATCATATAAACTGTGCACGAACCATTCAAACTGATTGTTTTACATATTTGCAAATACTAAATATTTCGGTATGAGCGACATAAATATGAACCGTAACTATATTAATATCACGACAAGCATCGGCATGAATGTTACTTCTTACGCTTCACTGGTAAAGACAACATTTTCAACGTTGTCTGGTAGGAATGCTTGCAGTCTACAAAAAACCTCCTGCGGTTGACGTATAAACTGCGTCTTCCCATGCCACTTTTAAATAAACTCCTGCTACAGACTTTTTTGCGAATTTACCCTAAAAACAAGACGGATGATGTGACTAATTGAGCCTCGTCATCAAAGACTTAAACTTCGAAAAGCTGTTCCCTCCGTCAATGTGGATGTTTTCGTAATAGGGCTAGTTTGTGTCAGGGATTCAGTAACTAATTTGACACGACAGGTTACGTGAGACACCGACACCCAGTATAAAAATACCCCTGTCTTACTTACTCCGCTTAGACATTCAATATGGGCGTGCAGTGAGCAGGGTATACCTTCTATTTTTCCTCTCCACTCCGTCGTTTGTTATTGAGATCAATCGCCCTGTGAGTTTTTTCAAGTCAACATTATTATGAAACAAGTTGAACAGAATACTTCTGCTGTTTTATTCTGGTTTCAGAAAGTTGAACCTGTTGAAAATGTTTCCCACGTCAAGTAAAATGAAAATTTCACACAAAACTTAAAATGAACGCAGAAACGTCATAATATAAAAAGTATAAACGAAGATATAAATGTATATATAAATGTATATGTATATAAATGTGTGTGTGTGGTATTTCTGTATATTTTATTTGATTTTATTGTGCAAACCCTATTCTATCCAATATTCATTTTATTTCTATCAAAAATGGCAAATATCTATCCATTAACTATCTACACAAGCAACCTGTTAGTGCCATTATGTGTGGTTATTGTAACATTGAAATAATTATTAAGTACTTACTTCAAGACTGCGAATAAACATCGTAATTCAAATGTAATGTAAGAATTTTGTCTTGGAAAGTCAGTCAAAACAGATGATAAAAAGAAAGCAGATCTTGTTTATTGTTGTTTAACGCTACTTCAAGAAGCACGCAATGGTTAAATAACCAAGAATGTAAACGTTCTCTAGCTCCTTATGCATATTTATATACGACATCTCACAGCCGACATGATTCACACAGCTTTTACCTCAACCGTTTATTTCTGTTCTCCTATTTACAATAAATGCAAGCGATCCGTGAAAGATAATCCTAAACAATGATCACTTCTTTGCCCCAGCCCGCCTCACGCATGAAAATAAACTACCGCCGTTAATTTGTAAACTGTCGGGGGAGAAGTTTTGTAAACCATGTTGGTCTGAAATGTAAGAGAAATGTAACCTCTCACTCTTATTACTAATATTTACGGCTATAACATATACCGGGACATGTGGGGGATGCTTGCAGGAGACGCAAGGCTGGGGTACAAAGAAGATATGGAGGATTTGAAACTTTTCCTCCCGAGGGATTGAGAAGCATTTTAGAAGGGATATCACTTTATAGAACATGTATAAAACGTGTAAAATAACATGACGTTCTGTTTATGATACAGATAGTATGAGATACAAGCATGGAACGCTATTTCTGAAAAATAACTTTGAAAAAATTACAACAGATATTTAATGTATAAAATTGTGTAACAATTTGCGTACATAGCCTAGGGTTAGTTGACTGATGACTGAAAGTGGAATTGGACTTCCCAATATTTATTATTCCTTGTAGTTTCCGTATATGTTCACTGGCTAAAATGTGTCTCGATGGGTCGGTGCCGAATTTTCTGTGTTTACCAATATTAGAATGATGGCTGATCATTACATATTCAAAATAAAAAAAGGCACAAATCGATTTCTATAATTATAAGAAATATCTGCTAAGAGCAATCTTTTTTACGATTCAACCGGTAATATGGGCATGTGTTTATATATCATATATCAGTGGTGATACTAGGTTTTCCAGAAAGGAACACCGGCTATATATATGAAAAACAACGGTATCAGTCAGAGCAACTGTTAATATACATACTAAACATAAAAAATAACTGCAGCAATAAAACTCGGAATGTCAAAGTGTTTCTTGCTACTGAGAACGTATAAGTTTACTACAAAAAAAACATATATATTTCCTGATAACAAATCACTTGTTCACCATTGATCAATGTAGAATAATCGTTAAGGATAAACAACGCATTGGACTTGTAGTTGTTTACTGCTAAATATCCCCTCCATCATCAGATATCAAACAGCCTACCAGTTCGAAAAGTCTTCGAAGTTAATTCCCAGATTATACAGAACAGTGTCAACAATTGATACCATAAGAAGGTACAATCTTCACATATCTCTGAATAGTTGAAGAATATAGTCAGCAAAGCGTGTAAACTAGTTGGAAAAGGTTGGACAGAAACTCACACAAGACAGATACCATCAAGGTTCTAATGATAGATAAATCCTGGCATGAAAGATAAGAAAACCACGACGCTCTAAAATGTGGGAATCAAGGGTGGAGTGCAAACGGGGCTATAATTCACAGCAGTGATTAATTCTCGGGATTGTGGAACCCTTTAAAACACGAAAATCGGCTGTTAATAAAGCTCCTAGTCACCCGAAATACGAGATAATGGTGTGACTGAACTGTTATATCTTCAGTATAAGGGTTACATTATCCCGACAAGAAGTCCTCTGACAGGTTCACAGCGCTTTTTATAGCCATCCAAGACGGTCTCAAGTATCAACCTAGCTTCTTTTGGGTGGTTTTCAACACGTTTTCTGACGTCGCCATACAATACGGAACACTTGTACATACGGAACATACGAGTCGAGCTAACAAAACCGAGGAGATCTGACAGCGAAAGCGCCGAATCAGTTTGTCTTTCTTTGCTGTGGATTGTAGCCATCCTTGGCATGTACGATCCCCGAATCGTTATGTGACTGGTATTATTTCAGTTGCCGTGACAACACGTGCTTATAACACCCCCTCCTCCCCCTTGAACCCCTTGCCGTGAACGCCTCGGCAGTCTTATCAACCTGAGAGACTTTTAATGAAGCTAAATTTTGTGAATTTCTCAATTACCGACAAACGCACCGAGTACCAGCCTGACATACTGGTAATGACTAATTATTGAAAAAAACGACCGCACTTAAACTGTTTTAAGTTATCTTGATAAACAGGAAAAAATGTTCCTGTTCCCGGTAAAGACAAATTGTTGTCGTAAACTGTAATAGATTCAAGAAAACTCCCAGTTCGGAGATGGTTTTACATTTAGTTTTAAATTATGCCATATGTGGTTACATTAAATGTTTGCTGACTATCATTTGCAGCTTATAATCAAACGTATCGTTATACCCGAATTGTTTTTAATTATATAATTAATAATATAATATTTGAGTAATTATCATAATACGATTGGTGACAAGACATACACGTTGAATGTTTTATAACAAAACCTTGAATCTATTCTTTTTTATTTAGTAAGCATTAAATGAATCAATGGGCGATTTTGATATAGTTCATTATGTCTAATCAAAATAAAAACGATTTCCAAATTCATTTGTTTTTAAACAGTTTTTCGCATATTTAAGAAGACCATAAAATGAAATCAAAGAATACGCCAAATCCGCCATGGTCGAAAGAATAGGTAGATACTGGAGAGCATCCATACTCATTCTACTTATGTGTTACAAATATTGACACAATAGGAGAAACGGCTTACCTGCAAGGGCTAGGTCTACGGGCTCAGTCCCGGCTGTGATAGCAGCGTAGGGACTGGGGTCATTGCTTGACGGCGGGGACATACTCTGCATGGACCCCGTGCTTCCTGTAGGTGACAGAGGCTGTTGCTTCAGGTATCGCTGGGTGGTAGGCCACTGTGCTGTTTGCTGCATGGTGTGATCCCTGTCATACATGGATGGGGGTATAGAGGGCGAGGCGGTGTTCTGAAGGTTGGTCAGGTGGGTATAGTCCCCGTTGACGCCTGCCATGGCACAGCTCTGAGCGTACCTGTTGTTGAAGCTGCAGCTTGCGTTGACATGTTGCTGCATGCTGTTGCTTGGCATCATCATGTTGTTGTTGTCAACGTACCCTTGAGACGTGCTGACCGCGCATGACATGTTCATAGGTGACATGCCAGTGTTCTGCGAGTGTAAAAAGTCATAGTGAGATTGAATCATGGAGGGAGCGGCCCCCATCCCATTTAACATCCCAAAGGGTTTCAAAGCTTGACATTTCCTCCTGAATCCTCTAGGCCGCCTCCTGAAAGATCCCTCCTCGAACATGAATTCAGCGGCAGGGTCAATTGTCCAGTAGTGTCCCTTCCCTGGCCGTCCAATACCTTTAGGCAGTTTGATGAAACACTCATTGAGAGACAAATTGTGTCTGACAGAGTTCTTCCACCCCTGATATGATCCCCTGAAGAATGGAAACCTCTGCTGCAGAAACTGATATATTTCACTGAGTGTACATCTCTTGGTTGGCGCTGCTTGTATGGCCATTACAATGAGAGCTATATACGAGTAGGGTGGCTTCTCAGATCGCCTCACCCCAACACCTGATTTCTTGGCGTTTTTCTGACAGGAAGGAGACTCGGGCATGTGTGACGTCGTCGACGGCGTCTCCTCGCCGCTGTCCGATACGTTACTGTCCACCTTCATGTCCAGCTTCTCCTCGAAGTCCTCCATGTTCTCAAGCTCTGTGACTTGAGGTATAACTGTATTATCCATAATAGGTTTCCTATCAATCTCACAATCCACTCCGTATTGCTGCATTTGTCTCTCCACACTGTGTACTGTATCACAACACGGCAGTTCAGTGACAGGCTCTACCTTGATAAAGATTGCTGGAGTCGTGGAACTAGCAGATAAACACGAGGTGACCAGCGATATGGGTGATCCTCATTACATACTCAACTCTTATACGCATCATTTCAGGGAAATTAGGCCTGAAACTCACATCCCTCGCGCTGAGCAAATCAAAGCCAGGAATGGGCGGAGTCAAGCGGTGCCAGTCTCAGCCATTGGTGCCTCCGTTGCCTGCATGGTTCCCACACTGTATGCCCCTAGTGTAGGTCTGACAGACTGCACATGTACGCTCTGCTACCTTCAGCCTGGCATCTATACTAAAGTAACGCCCACCGATACATTCATCCTCTCCCACGGGATGACGGGAGGCTGTCAGGGGAATGGTCTAGGCCCCCTTTTCTTACTTTCTCTAAACATAACTCTGTCACAAACATCTTTATTCCCTCTGCCTGACTACCTCAGAGTCAGAATTATATCTCATTGTAGTTGTTATATCATAATGATCAAAATGCAATAATACAAGGCAATACAATATGTTCATTCACTACAATACTTGTATAGTGTATTCCCCGCCGTGATGTTGCTGGAATATTGCTAAAAGCGGCGTAAAACCAAACTCAGTCAGTCAGTATAGTGTATTATCTAATTATACTTTGCTACACCAAATATATATTTTGATTTATTTAAGATCATTTGATCTAATATTATTATACAATTTCTGTCATTTGTGCACAAATATTCTGAATATGTTAATTTTGTTTATGTTAATATGAAACGTCGTGTTAGTTGAGGACAGTAGTTTATCAACAAATAATAGAAACATTGTTTTAGGGGCAAGTATAAACATATTCGCTCCCACATGCTGTTTTTAATCATTTATGAGAAAACCACATGGTTTTGATGATCCAAAAAGATTTTTCTATATGTGTTAATTCTGTCAATAATGTGATGTGGCGGACGATGAACACATTTCCTTAAAGCATTACTCATTTTAATACATTCACAATAGACATGCAAATGCCTACATTATTATCAAGTGATTAGTTGCTGATGTGAGGCTTCGTTGAGAAAACATTCCTTGATATATGAGGGGTTAGGATAACGTGTGTTTCCTCATTGCCCGTGTCCTGTGTTTCCTGCAACAAATTTCACACAAGTTGAATAAACAATATAGACACCGGTAATGTTTGATTTACTATAATTCGTAAACATGAATCACATTAAAGCGGAAAAGTATTTCATTAAAAACGTAAATTTAAGACATGACACATACATGCAAAATTCTGTCTACTGTGTTAGTAGTATTCGAAATAGTAAACAACTTAAATGAAATATGCAAATTGAAACATCTTTGAAGTAAATATAAATAAACAAAACCCTAAATATCCATAATAATTCCTGAAAAGCAGAGTCGATTGAAGTAAAAGAATGTTTACTGTCCTGTGAACAGATGATGAAACACATTTGTGTAGTCAAAATGCCATTGCTGGAAATTATGTCATACGTCCCTCAATAATACAGTGAAACAATAAAGCTATTACCTTTGTATTAGGAATATCTTCAAACATCGATATAACTGTGTATGTTTGTTCTCGTGAAATTTAAAAGAAGAGCAGAAACATTCGGAGAATATAAAGCCAGTTTGATATATAAAAACACAGTAATTAGAAATACGAATATTGATTAAAACAAATCCATCCGGAGTTCTTTAGAATTCTATGAATATCGTCTCATGAAAACGAAAGGCGTGAGAAACTTTGCAGAGAATACTGTTAGTACAGCTGAAAGAGCAACGATCACAAAAGGAATTTTGATAAATATAATTTGGTCAAAAACACTTATATCTTATATCGAACTTTCAAAGTCCCCCTGCTCATGACAATGATAAGGCGTTATTTCCAGGACGTGTGCAGGAACCTTGCCCTATCCCTACTTGAGATGAAGACTGGTTTGCCTTGCCTCCAGTGTACTACCTCCCACCACGAAGGAGCCTGGTTAACGCGGAAACTCGAGTCCATGCAGTCGACAGATTGTCCAAGGTGTTTATTTATCTTGTGGTCGATCGCACAAATAATTTCATATCCTCGATATTTGTGCATACAAAAGCAATTGTCAGTTTTCGTTCTTTTCATATTCGGTTGCAGGATTTATTGTTCTATATACATTGTGTTTGTGCATCGTTTATCTGCTTCGGAGTTCTTGCTGTCGATGTATACTCTTGTCCTTTGATGGCAGACAATACTCATCAAAACTAATTACTTTTGTACTTTTGATATCATCAGGTCCAAATGTTCTTCATATATTGGTACATGGCGAATGGGTATATTATCTTATATTGAATTACAAAGTCTCTATATTATGATTTACTCACAAAAGGTCAGTGTTGTAGGATGATACTCCATTGGTATGGGCAAGACATAAAGTATGTAAAATAGTTTGATTTAAAATGTAAGCATTATTTAAGTATCACGTAATTAATTCACAAACACAATGATTTATTGTAAACATTTACATAAAATGAATATGTTTCTGTTTGGGGTTGAGTGTCCATTTTTACCAGTTGTTGCTTGCTTTCAGAAATATTGTTACATCCAGTTGCCGAGTCACTGAGACATTCCTGCAGAATAACCTTTCATTTAGAACCAATCTGTTGACTTAATCTACAAACAAAATAGAAAAGTAGTTTATCTTCAGAATCAACCACAAAATATTCCTTGATACAGACCTACTATCCTGCTCATTTGATTTAGTTGGAATGTATTCGTACAAAATCTAGATATAATTCGATATATTCGATCGGGTTCATTTTATCAAAATCACCTACAAGGTTCAACTAAAATATTAAAATAAAACAGCATGGATTACCAATTTGGAGGGGTTTGTATATACGAAACGCAGTACCACTGCATGGATTTTACAAATATGTATATAAACAGTTTTTGACACCACCACCAAGAAATATCTTCGAACTGGAGGTCTTTCGTTTTTCTAATTTATTGAATTTCACCTGAAGACTGGAACTGTATGAACTGTGAACCACCTCAACTAGATCGAGCTTTATCAATTAGTGCGAATTTGTGATTCGAACTTGTTACAGTGCGAACGTTTTTCAACGGCGAAAGTGCACATTCAAGCAAATCCAATTATTTAAATGATTGATAAAACATTCAGAAGTGATTTGGGGGATTCTGCAAATCAACGTTGTATTCCGAGGTAAAAACTATAACCATCCACGTTGTAAGTATATCAGGGAACGTGTCCTGTCATCTACCTCCTAGTGTTCTGGCAACCAACAGATCGCACAATAATAAAAGCCATAGGCCCTGACAACCAACACAGGTCTCGCAACATTAAAGGCCCTGACTACCAGCTGTTTCACAATACTATAGGTCTTGACAACCAACAGGTCTTGCAATATTAAAGATTGACTACCAGCTGTTTCACAATACTATAGGTCTTGACAAGCAACAGGTCTCGCAACGCTAAAAGCCCTGACTACCAACTGTTTCACAATACTATAGGTCTTGACAACAACAGGTCTCACAATATTATAGGACCTGGAAACCATCGGGTTTCCCAATACTGAAGGTCTTGACAACACTAAAGGCCCTGACTACCAACTGTTTCACAATACTATAGGTCTTGACAAGCAACAGGTCTCGCAATATTACAGGACCTGGAAACCATCGGATTTCCCAATACTGAAGGTCTTGACAACACTAAAGGCCCTGACCACCAACTGTTTCCCAATACTATAGGTCTTGTGACAGGTCTCGCAATATTACAGGACCTGGTAACCATCGGATTTCCCAATACTGAAGGTCTTGAAAACACTAAAGGCCCTGACTACCAACTGTTTCACAACATTATAGGTCTTGACAAGCGACAGGTCTCGCAATATTACAGGACCTGGAAACCATCGGATTTCCCAATACTGAAGGTCTTGACAACACTAAAGGCCCTGACCACCAACTGTTTCCCAATACTATAGGTCTTGTGACAGGTCTCGCAATATTACAGGACCTGGTAACCATCGGGTTTCCCAATACTGAAGGTCTTGAAAACACTAAAGGCCCTGACTACCAACTGTTTCACAATATTATAGGTCTTGACAAGCAACAGGTCTCGCAATATTACAGGACCTGGAAACCATCGGATTTCCCAATACTGAAGGTCTTGACAACACTAAAGGCCCTGACTACCAACTGTTTCACAATACTATAGGTCTTGACAAGCAACAGGTCTCACAATATTACAGGGCCTGGTAACCATCGGGTTTCACAATACTATAGGTCTTGACAAGCAACATGTCTCGCAATATTACAGGACCTGGTAACCATCGGGTTTCCCAATACTGACGGTCTTGACAACACTAAAGGCCCTGACTACCAACTGTTTCACAATACTATAGGTCTTGACAACCAACATGTCTCACAATATTACAGGGCCTGGTAACCATCGGGTTTCACAATACTATAGGTCTTGACAACCAACATGTCTCACAATATTACAGGGCCTGGTAACCATCGGGTTTCACAATACTATAGGTCTTGACAACCAACATGTCTCACAATATTACAGGACCTGGAAACCATCGGGTTTCACAACACTAAAGGCCCCGACTACCAATTGTTTACAATACTATTAGCCAGGCAGGTCCCACAGTATATGTTTCGTAATCTTCCACCAGGGCTGACTACCAGTAATACCCAAAATACATAAATATGACTAAGAGCAGGCCTAACAAGACATGTCCTAACACATACCATAAAGTCATGTTACAATATACATGAATATGAATACAAACAAACCTCACAAGGCTTGGCCTACCATTAGTCTCTGAATAGTAACATATACAGCAATATATGTTTGACACCAGGTCATGACTAGCAACAGGTCTCACAATACATTACAAAGATGGA